CTTGCACACCCACAGCACAAACACTTCATCTCCTCATGGGGATCCCCAAGAACGAATCGGAGACAGCCTTCATGCTGAAGTGGGGTCACCACAAGTCCCTGCTCATGTATCCCCCAGAATGCCTCTGTTCTGTATTAGTCCAGTGACCGATTGTAACCGGCCATTGGTGCATACGTGCTTTTGATCCATTCCGGCTTCATTACGCGGAAGACTCTGTCCGGAGAGGCTGGAGTCCTGAGTTCCCGGAGAGTGGAACTTCCTTCGGCTTGGTTTTCGAACCTGCAGCAGTTTGTGAGCCTCCACGCAGCAGGAGCCTGCTCCGTTTTCGCAAGAGGGCCGGATTAGGAATCTCTCCCTGGCCGTGTGAGAAGAAATGCCCATTGTAAACAAGCTGCAGCCCACCCCCATGCCTCGCCGTGATCCCAGTCATGTGTCGGGTCTTACTGAGGGCCGGCCGAGGGGGCGCAGGGGGCCGCTGGAGAGGGGAGGGAGCGGGGCACACTCTTGGCAGCACAGCAGGCAGTCGGGAACGTGAGGGAAGAGTCTGTCCCGGTCGGAGAGCTAATCTCCTCGGAGCATATGGAGGACGGGGGGGGCGCTGTCTGTGAGCGGAGCGCTGGGGTTCGGTAGCTCATTTGAGGCGATTCCAGCTGCCAGACAGGCCGTGCCCCCAGAGACACCGCGCTGGGGTCAGGAGACCCCTTTGTAAGGGGTCCTGTGGGCACAAGGGACAAAACAGTCCTTTACGGCAGTATCCTCCTCAGCTGGAGGGCAGCGTTTTCCCTTTCTTTATATTTCTGAGTTCGAGCAGTGGGTCGTGATGAAACCCTTGGGCTGCTTTAAGCTCAGGGCTCTAAATCCTATTCCCGATGTCACTCCTCAAAAACACACTGAGATATATCCCATTACTTTTCATTTGTTGTCTGAGGCGTCGAGATAAGAGCGCTCAAGGTCCAGTGACCAGCCTGCTGCAGACGTTTGACGAGTAATTCCCCCAGTCGCGAGCAGCGCTGCTCGGAGCCATCAGCAGAGCCCTTATCTGAGCTGCGCTCTGCTTTGTCTCAGGGGTACCGATTTAGAATGACTGAACAGACAATCGTTCATGCAGACAATACAAGGAAAAGCAGAGGTCACGTAAAGTTTGCTTCCCGCCCCAAAATGGGCAGCATTGAACGGAAGAAATTCCACAATCCTTTGCTTTTCTGTGAGAGTCGCGCTGCTCTTTCTGAGTCCAGTCTGGGGAAGGTCTTCACTGTGACACCACTGTCAGCCCTATATCAGATCTGTCCGAGCTCCACACTACAATGCAGACAGGCCCATTTTATTGAATGCATGCACTTGCACGAGGGG